CCGACTGGCTCCAGCTCTGCTGGGTGGTGACCTTGCTGGGGTGGTGCCAGGTGGAGGTGGGTGCTGCCCTGATGGCAGAACTCAAGAGCTGCTGCTTGCGGGGCTGAGTCGGGGGCTCCTCCCTCAGCCCCAAGGCGGGAAAAGCCCAGCTGCAGGCCGGGAAGGTGAGGCCCCAGGGACCGGCACGGCCAGGGACTCCTGCACCCGGCCAACTGAGCCCCCCTCACCCCCCATCAATCGCTCTAATGGGGGTGACCCTCCGGCTGCCCGATCCCCTTGTATTCCAGGGTCCAGCGTACCCCCCTGGCTAGCAGCATCTGACCCCACACCTCAGACGTGGGCTACAAGCGCTGAGACGCCCACAGGGACTGGCACCCCCACCGAGGGGGCCACAGCACCAGGTATGGCCTAACTCCACTGCAGGGCCCAGTTCGGCCCTGGCCCCTCGCACACTCTTCCAACCGGTGCCCCCCAGCCTGCCAGCCCTGCACCCACCAGCTCTGCCGGTGTCCCTCACTCCCGACCCGCAGCCCCTGTTATGCCAGTGCTGGGTCGCTCCTCCTGCCCTGGGTACCTGCTGTCCGGGCTCCTCCCAGGTCTGAGTCTCAGCTCACGTTTGTTCACTCTGGGGGGGGGCTGTTCCCCCAGATGAGCCCAGCTGTGGCAGTGGGCAGCCCTGCCCCCCTTGGAGCACCTGCGTGTCCTGGGCTGGGCACTTCTCCTGCCGCTGCGCCCTGGGCTTCCATTTCAACCAGACCATGGGCTGCGTGCCAGGTAAGGGGGCTGCTCCCCCTGGGCCTGGGAGGGGGGGTCCCATGCCCCTGCCATTGCTGCCTGGGGTACCTGCCCCGTCACAGCGAGCAGGCACCCCTAGGGGCTCTGTCTCCCTTTCCTTTGCCTCCAGACCTGCCTGGCCCTGGCGATGCCCCGTGTGGGGGAGGGGCCCAGGGCTGGCACTTCTCACCCCATAGCCAGGATGCTGCCACTGGGGCCCCAGTCTCTGTTCTGCCTGTGAGTCCCCCATGTCCCACGCTGACCCCATGGGGCCCCTGCTGGCAGAGGGGGGCTCTGGGACAAGGGAGCAGCTGCCTGACCCCAGCCACTATGGGCTGGGCTGGGTCAGTGGGGGGCAGATTCTCTGGGGGTTGAGGGGCTGGGCTGAAGTGGGGGAGCATATAGTGTGTGGGGAAAGGGAGGGGTCCTCTTGTACCTGGGCTCCATTCAGGGCAGGGAGGGAGTCTGGCTGGGGGGTCCCCCGTGGGCAGCCCCTGGCCCTGCCGGCTCTGAGATCCCTTGTCCTGTCTCTCGCCTGTCTCCTGCGTGTTTGAAGCCAGGATGTTCCCAGGGCGCCTCTCTCTGCGGGCCCCCGCCCCGGCACCGCCAAGCCCTCTGCCACCTGCCGACCTGTGCAGGATCGTCGCCCAGCTGGAGAGCCTGGTATTGTGTGGGGGGGGGGGGGCTGGCTGACACCCGCTGGTGGGCAGTGGGGGCTGGGAGTGGGGCCCTGCTGATGACCTGGGGGTCGCTGGGGGGAACAGCTGATACCCCCTCCCCTTGG